TATATAGCGCCCTATATAATTTGTAAAATTACTCTAAGGCGCTTTACAACATATGGATAATAGTAATGGTTATAATTGTGAAAACAAACAACAAAGGCTTGCAATCACTTTCATACATTTAACAAGCAATGTGCACATAATTGAACAAATAAAAGGGTGGTATTTACATGACGTCTTTGCAAAGATTCTAAAATGCAGACGTGAAGAGGTGAGTTTTTATGTCCCTCTTGAACTTGGCCAGGGTTTTCGACTTCCTAATAGCAGATGGTAAGCTATTCTCCAACGTAGCCGAAACCCTCCCAAAACATCTGTTTCCGTAGGTCACAGTACGAGATTTTGGGACACATAACAAAGATTCTTACTCCGACCGCATTGATCGTGACGGTTGATACAGGGTAACAAGTTCCTGTAGGTACGGAGGAGCTGTTCCATTCAGTCCTTGTATGTGTATACCAGAATTTTGTACTGCGACCTGTATCGTACAGGTAACCAGTGCAACGAATAAAGCACAGGTGTGATGTGCTCTCCCTTTCGAGTTCGAGTAACTAGACATGCTGCAGTGTTCTGAACCCTCTGCAGACGACTAGTTAGATTTTCAGATATACCACAGAGCAGGGCGGTACCATAATCCAACCGAGAGGTAACAAGTGAATGCACCAAAATCTTGCATGCATCTGCAGTTAGAAACTGCCGAATACAGCCAATGTTCCTGATCTGGTAGTAACAGGATTAGGCAAAAGCGTTCACTTGTTTCTCCATGTTCAAAGAACTGTCAAAGTATACCCCTAGGTTTTTAACAGCTGGAACAGTCTCAATAGTTCTGGCACCAACCTTGAGCTGGAGAGCCATTTTTTGCTGACACTTTGGGGAAAAGACGATTAGTTCCGTCTTTTCCTGATTAAGTTTAAGCATGTTGGCGTTCATCCAGATACTGATATCTGTCAGACAAGTTTCCAGACTTTCTGAGACTGTATAAAACTGTCTGTTTGTCAATAATAACTATTTTCGAAATTCGTTGTTGTGTGTGGGTATCATCTTTAGCTAATAACTCATTTCGACATTAGTAGTTGTTCGTGGGTATTATCTATCGCTTGTTCATGGGTATTACTATCGCTAATAACTCATTTCGATATTCGTTGTTGTGTGTGTGTATTATCTATCGCTTGTTCGTGGGTATTATCTATCGCTATTAACTTATTTCGATATTCGTTGTTGTGTGTGGGTATTATCTTTCGCTAATAACTCATTTCGACATTCGTAGTTGTTCGTGGGTATTACTATTGCTAATAACTCATTTAGATATTCGTTGTTGTGTGTGGGTATTATCTTTCGCTAATAACTCATTTAGACATTCGTAGTTGTTCGTGGGTATTACTATCGCTAATAACACATTTCGATATTCGTTGTTGTTTGTGGATATTATCTATTGCTTGTTCATGGGTATTATCTATCGCTAATGACTCATTTCGATATTCGTAGTTGTTCGTGGGGATTATCTATCGCTTAATCGTAGGTACTTCTCATTTCGTTTTTCATAGTTGCTCGTTAGTCGAACAACTACGGTTACATATTTTCTCACTACCGTTATTCACATTTTTTTCAATTAATTCACTTGAATGGACATCATCAAGATGACCTTTTGTTACCATAATTTGCGTACGGTTACGAGCTAACCGAGGGAATATGCGAGAAAATCGGAATATTTCATAACTGATAACTATTGTTTTTATGTATTTTACGTTTTTTCATTGTCTCGAAATGAGTATTGTTTTGTTATACGTTATGATATGTAAGTGTTTATGTTTCTGTCCTAAAAAAGACCAGCAGATTGCTTTGAACATTTGACAAAAATTTGTTCCTGCACTGTCCTTATTACTTATATACAGATTTCAGTAAAACGCATTCAACGAACATTTGTTTGTGCAGATCAAGTACCCATATTGGATCATACTGTCTTTATTACTTATGAGACCTGTATATATATAACATTTTATCATAAGTACCATTTTATGAGATTTATATCTCTATCTATATCATGTCTCGTTTCGCCGCGAGCGGATATTGATTATTAGAGAATTGTTGTCTATTACTATAGCAACAGTATTGCATAACATCGTAAATTGGTTCACAGTTTTATTCTGATATTTGTGTGCTTAGGGTATTACGTCCTCGCATCAGCCAGTGTCATATGAGAAAGGGGATTAAAACAGGATTTACATAAGCATTGGTTTGCTTTCAGGTGGCATGCATATATAGGAGGCAATATGAATGTCATCTAGAGGACGTTAAATAAAATAAGAGCGTTAGCGCTTCATGTTGGATTTGCCTTGGTCCAGTTGGCATTTATATTGTCTGTGAATAAATGCCAACTTAAGTTGTTCAATACATATTTTTACCAGTTTGGGAATTTTGAGATCTTATTACGTTCAATTACGCTAATCAATATCGTACTTATCGTACCAGTTTTAGAACAGTCATCTGTCCAGGGAGGGTCACTGGAATCCAAATATGACGTCATGATAATGATGACGACAACACATTGGTCATGGCATTTATAGTTTTTAATTATGACTGCAATCTGAATATGGTGTGGTTATATAGTGCTTTTATAGTTCATAGCTCAGTTTATTTCTTTAAAACATTATTATGGCTGTTGAATATTTTCCATTTTTCATCCATTCCTTGCTCTAATTGTCTAACTACCATTGCGCTCACTACATTGGATGGAAGGTTGTTCTACGTGTCAGTATTACTCTTTGTCACTGCTATATAATAAATCAGAGACAACAATTAAATCAATATTACAACCTATACATTATTTTCCTCCTCCCGAATCATCGCAATATATGATAAACATAAAGAAGAGACACGAGCTAACAGATTCGATGTTCATCTTCTTAGATTGGTTTGATCAAAAATTAGAATATTTTGTTAACGGTATTTTCGCATAACATTTAGTCAGTATCAATAAACAAACAAATAATACGAGACAAATTCCATTATTATACGGAATTATAGGCTGTCATCATTTCTTCAATATCAGAACACGGTAAAAGTTTTGGTGCTATATTAAACTCTTTACTTCTTTATTCCGTCTTTGCGTATTGCAGAGTTATCTTCTCTTGTGAGCAGGTATTGATTGTTACGTCATTGGTTTGTGTGAGAAAATGACGTCGTTTTCTCAAAAATGGATGACGTTACTCTCATAAACAAATGACGTAACAATCAATACCTGCTCACAAGAGCAGATAACTCTTGTATACGAAAAGACGGAATAGATGTCTCAACGCCAAAAAAGTACAATCATCTTAACATGATTTTTAATAATTGTTATTTGGCATGAAACAAGAATATATGCAAATATTAGAAAAAAATATTAGCTATAAAAATTTTCATGCAAATATTAAAAAAAAATGTTATACCTACCATTGTCACATTTTCATCGTAGCTATTTCGACTTCAACGGGATGAAACAGTACTGGTATCATAGCTTCAGATATATTGTTGTTTTTAATGCGAGTTCATAATGTCAATGTCTATCGCCTTATAGGGGGGTCTAATGATATCAGGGTATACGCAAGTAATTCGTTTTTATTTAGCGTGAAAATGCAAACTGAACGCTATCATTCCGAACGAATTTGATGAAAAGTCAGTTTCAATCCGTATTATTTCAAATCCCTTGTTATGACTCATAAAATAGAAACAACGCATTCAATATCGATCATTATCTCTGTATCACTACAAGAATTATTGTTTTAACAAAAGCGGCAACCAGTTCGAAATCTTGCGTGAGGCGACAATCTAGAGCTTCGTTTTGATTATAAATACAACGTTTCAGGATGAAGGTTAGCAATACTACCTGTATTTATTATTTTGATCGATTCTTATGATCCCTAACACTATGGTAAATAAACAAACATCCATATACCGCCAATGAAACATGACTCAATTGTTTAGTTTACAACGCAATCGAGATTTGAAATAATCTTTGTAAGGTCAACCTCGGAGTGAAAGATGACAATTTTGGTGCAGAAATCAATTTTCAATATTCATAAAGGACACCGGCCTTTTCTGATATCAGTGTGCTGTTTGACATGTCATTTTATGCATCAAATCATAAGTACGACTTAAACTCTACGCAAAAACACTTACGTTTCGATAAAACAGATGTTGCTCTTGACGTATTTTGAAGTTTTAATTCTTATTATGGATCTATATGTGATTATTTTGTATTTTTAATAGAGATTGAAACCCAACGATATCTTTATATTCAAAAATGAGTATTTTTTGCTGTACGAATACCTTTTCTTTGTCTGGTTATTTTTTCATAACATAAGAGGTGGATTAAAATATAGTAATAGTAACTTTTTATTTTCTATGACGTAGATCTGGAACCAGTCTGTTGCCGTCCAGTGACATCACTAAAGTGCTGGCAAAGTTGGCGGACGGACACTGGACAAAGCCGTACTTTGACTGCGGAGGGGGTGACATCTGGATGGTGACCTACTCGGCACCAATATTTTATTACAACGCCACAACCGAATCACTATCCTTTCAGTAGGTCACTTACATCACCATTATCTATCATCTGACATGTATAAATTCATTTTCTTCAATAAGGTTCGTCAGTTTGGAAATATGTAATACAAAAGTTTTACTTTTTACAAACGATGTACGTGTTAACCGTGTCGCAACGTTTCAGGACCGGCTGGTTCCTTTGTCAAGCTAGGACTACGAAGCTTGACAAGGAAGCAGTCGGTCTTGCGACACGGTTAGCACGTTCATTGTTTGTGTAAAAAGAAAAAAAATGATATGGCATGTATTTATTATTTTCAACATCAGTTTTAAGGTTAATTAAATGATGAGCTATGGCGTCCTTTTAAGTAAAAAAAACCCATGTTAAACTTCTAAATATCAATTTAAATAAATTGCGTTGATAACACTTGTCTAAACATGAGATATTTATACATTACTTACCCTTCTTGAAAACATATCTTATTCTCTTGATGATTAAAACAATATCCGTAAACTCTTAATCTGCCCTTGTTTCATCGATTTTGAGTTCAAAGTACGATTTTTTTCACTCTTCGGTGTTCTATTGTTGTTTTTTTTTTTTTTTTTTTTTTTTTTTTTTTTTTTTTTTTTTTTTTTTTTTTTTTTTTTTTTTTTTTTTTTTTTTTTTTTTTTTTTTTTTTTTTTTTTTTTTTTTTTTTTTTTTTTTTTTTTTTTTTTTTTTTTTTTTTTTTTTTTTTTTTTTTTTTTTTTTTTTTTTTTTTTTTTTTTTTTTTTTTTTTTTTTTTTTTTTTTTTTTTTTTTTTTTTTTTTTTTTTTTTTTTTTTTTTTTTTTTTTTTTTTTTTTTTTTTTTTTTTTTTTTTTTTTTTTTTTTTTTTTTTTTTTTTTTTTTTTTTTTTTTTTTTTTTTTTTTTTTTTTTTTTTTTTTTTTTTTTTTTTTTTTTTTTTTTTTTTTTTTTTTTTTTTTTTTTTTTTTTTTTTTTTTTTTTTTTTTTTTTTTTTTTTTTTTTTTTTTTTTTTTTTTTTTTTTTTTTTTTTTTTTTTTTTTTTTTTTTTTTTTTTTTTTTTTTTTTTTTTTTTTTTTTTTTTTTTTTTTTTTTTTTTTTTTTTTAGAACAAAAGTGATTAAAAAACCATTCAATAAGTTGAAAAAGTTGAAAAATTATGAATGGCTTTTTAAACATTTTTTTTTTTATCACTTCCTTAAGTATCGGTTGGCATTAATTAATGTCAAAATATTCTCTACGTAATGTATGGAGTCTAACACAAAGAAGTGAAGCTTAGAACGACATTTAGTTATTCTTTAACGCTGGTGTAAAAATGCCTCAGATAAAATTGAACATGAGATATAAAAGAATTCTTACGATTTGTTTTGTTATAAGTATTCCTAGAATAACAATAACTATAAAAAATGCACGCAGTGTGTATGGAATGAAACACTGCAGCAAGCATACGATGCTTTGTCCATAATTTTCTGAGAGTGAAGTTGTTGAACTTCTTACGCCAATGCTGGTACCTCGACAAGCGTTTGACTACGGCCTCTAGTTGCAGTTTCATGCCATAGCGTACATGTATGCATTAGTGCTAGTAACCAACAGTTGAAGATCACTGTATATAATGAAATAGAAATAGCTTACTGAAATAAATCATTTTCAGCATTATTTTATAAATAATTGCATTTTTTCTTTGTGACAATATTTGAATTCTACAAAGCAATTTCGGATGACAGGTTGAAGTGATGTTATTTTTTTTTTACGTAAACTATTATTTCTTGATTGAGTACCGTATACAAAAGTGCATTTCGACGCTTTATACACGATGAATATATAAAATGTTATCAGATGATCACACGGTACACATGAGAATGAACTATTTCTCAACATGGTACATAAAGCATTTAATTTTCAGGCGTCTATAAACACTAACGTAACAGGTCGATTTTATTTGGTCAAACGCGAAATTTACCTCACAGATAGCAATTTACATATTATGGTTTTGATGATATTCCTGTTGAAAAATATCCTGATATTGATCTCCGACTAAGAGTACATTTAATACAACGAAATCGTTTTATTACGTAAACAATTGTGCAAAACTGCGTGCTGGATGGATATGACGGTGTGAACTCTCCCGCGGACAATGTGATTTCTCTCATGACACCTGACATCCGATTCGTTAAGGAACCATAAACATCCCACAAATAACCTAGAACGAAATCCGCCAGATTAGGTGGCACGGTAGTCAAGTGGTAGGACGTCGGGCTCGTGACCGAAGGGTTGCGGGTTCGAGTAACGTCAAGGCACTGTGTTGTATCTTTGAGCAAGATACTTTACTGCGCGTGTGTCAGTCTACTCAGCTGTAAACGATTACATGGTTGGGCAGTGCTAGAATTGTAGAATGCTAGCTATGAGCGCCAAAATGGTAGTACCGGCTGTATGCTCCCAAGGGAGTTGATAAATATATTTGCCTATAACCAAGGATACTATTTTGTGAACCGCTTTGAGACGACCTACAACAATTGTGATAAAGCGGTATATAAGAACCTCGAATTATTATTATTAATAATTATCAACACAAAGTCGCAATCACGATCTTGCGAGTTAGGTCCACTTCCCAAGAGACGAGTGAAGCAATACTTTGAGACACTGCTTCATTTAATAATTCAATCTTACACAAATCATTGGTTTAGCCAAAGGTTTCACTGTTTGTAATGATATATAATGATTGGACAAAGAGGAGATAGAAAGCTACGGTACGGTATCTAGTAGTGTTCTTTAAGATTAAGAGAAGATTGTGGATCAGCCTCTAGAATTGTGAGTAAGATGAATGGTTTTTACGAAACTTCAGAATTCCCTTGGTGTTCTTTATATATGTCTTATGTAATCAAATTAAATATTCCTCTGGTCCTGAAACCAGACTTAGACATTTTAACATATAGATGTCTGGTGTGTGGCCAGAGCGCACTGCAATATGAAAACGTGGAATTCTCCGACATCGTTTAGAATTAGAATTGCAAGTTTCATTTCTTCGAGCGGAGCTTACCTACGCCAACAAAAAAAAAAAAAAAATCAGAAAAGTGTGAACAACGGTTGAGAATTGGTTTTTCAGTTCTGCAATTTGCAAGATATTAACATCTAGCAGTAATTAAAAAACATAAATGATAATACGATAGGGAGAAATTGTAGATGAGGTTTTTGGAAATTTGCTTGCATTTCAGATTAAACCTTCAATCCTAAACAATAAAATAGCATAGGCTATAAAAAAACTTGCGTCTTTCCACCGGCAAATAGAGGAAAACATCACGCGATTCGTTCATTAACTTATGAAACACAGAGCAATAACGAAACGTTTGTTAAAAACATTATTGTACAACCACTTCAGGATTATTTTTTCAACTGATTAGCTTTTAAAACCGAGACTGTTTTAGAATCAGTTTTATGAACAAAGGAAGTGCAAACAAGGACAAATGGTTATTTCAAATGATGATAGGTTATATGGACTTTCCACAGTATACCTGGTTATACATACAGGAAACAAAATTGTCAGTAACCATTATCTCAACTTAAAGATTGAATAACTACAAACCCCTTATCGTAGAAATATAACCTTCTTTTGAACGCCATCTGTGAAAATCAAGACAAAATAACTATAATTATGCCACGTATCAAGAGTGTTTTCTTTATGAACTACCCATGAAAATACATGTTTTCAATTAGAATGTTGACACGTGGCCTTGCTATATCTAATTAAAATTCGATTTTCCTTTATTCGCTATGCCGATGTGTGTAGGGAGCAAATGTAAATCGAACTTTTTATTGAAATGACCTTGCTATGATCTTTTTCAGGGGCGTGGCTACGATTGACATTGAGCTGACACACATCGACATCAACCAATGCGATCTGGACCAAAGTGAGGCTGGAGCTCTGGATGTCTTTCGTGGTACCCACAGCTGTATGTTGACCACACAGGTGTGTCTTTTATGAAAATAAACGTGATTTACAGATTAATGACATCGTCACAGATAAATGTCTCCTACAAATACAAAAGTCATTTTCTAAGATAAATGTCACCTAACAGGTTGTCCTAATCTATTTGATATGTAACACGGTATTTTATTTGTCAATCAAAATGGCAAATTTAACATTTGGTGGCAGATGTTTACATTTGCTAATGTAAATAACAATTATACGTTTTATAACAGTATAACAGTAGTTCGGCAGGGCTAGAATTGTAGAATGCTTGCGGTGAGCGCCGAAATGGCATCACCGGCTGTATGCTCCCCAGGGAGTTGAGAAAGCTATTGGCTGGTTACAAAGGCCCTATAACCACAGATAATGATTTGTGAACCGCTTTGAGACGACCTACGAACTAGGTTGTGATAAAGCGGTATATAAGAGCCTCGAATTATTAGTATTATTATTATAATGTCTATACACCGCCCCAAATCTCAAAAACATGTCAATGGGTATCTCCTAATTACCACATACTCACGTTCAAAATACGGACGCTGGTTAGTCGCCTCTGTACGTAAATGTCATCCACACAGCTGATTGTCACCTGACCAGAAAATGTCTTCTACACTGATTAATGTCACCGATACAAATACTTGTCACATACAGAGGTCTCTGTTACCTCGACAGGTAGATGTCACCTGTACAGGAAGATATCACCTGTGCAGGTAGATGTCACCTCGACAGGAAGATGTCACCTGTACAGGAAGATGTCACCTGTTCAGGTAGATGTTACCTCGACAGGTAGATGTCACCTCGACAGATAGATTTCACCTGTACAGGTAAAAATTATGTATATATATATATAATATATCAACACGTATCAGCTAATTATACAGGATAGAGGCGTATTTTAACCACACCAATCCAGAAAATCAATTTTCAGAGACAGCTTCTTTGAAATTGTATCGATTTTCCTTTCGTTAGAAGTAAAATTAACACTAAATACCGTATGAAATATTTTAGTCCACTTTCGAACATTAGTAATTAGTTTTCTCACTTTTTAAAACGAACAAATGTACTCAGTGTACCCTACATGCTAGAAGGTGCTTTCCGTGGGCTTCAGGGTGTTTTATTACCCGAATCGTTGGCATGGGACATTTTGCCTTCGTTAATTTTAAACCTGAAATTATTTGTACATCGATTCGGGAATTATTATTAACCATCCTTTCATACATAATAAATAGTTCATCGTCAGCATGCACACCAAGTTGAAGCATGAAAAACAAGTTGAAAGATGATGCGACTTTGCAAATTAAATTGTCACGTTTTGTTAACTTTACAGAGTTGACAGTTTCAATCATTAAGCTCATATGATGTTAAAGGTAAAACCCAAGTTTTGTCAATATTACCATGAAATCTTCTTAAGAAAATCATTTTTATAAAGTATCGGGAAATTTTTGGATCAGCTGGTTATGAAAAGGAAATTATATTGCTTTCTATCTACGTCGTCTGTCATGCATCACGCGTCGCCCATCATTCGTCAACAATTGAACATTTTCTACTACTTTTCGCTCAAACCCGAAAAAAGATATTTCTAACTTCTCCAGAACGACCGCAGCTATTTTTGTGTTAATGCGAGTAAAAAGGGCAAAGTGTCCGCCTCTTGTTGACATGCTCCACTTCTTCTCATCTGCGGCTGCTTTCATTGAAATCAAACTCATCACAAATATTCAATATAAATTCAAGACCAAGTATTTGTTTTGAATAAGAAAAATCAAAATGGCCGTCACTGTCTTTGGTTTGGTTAGACATTTCCATATTTAGCAACTGCAACAATAATATCAAGCTTGGAACAAATGAACAAATGTTTCCTATAAGGTTCTGTACAAGTGTTGTTTCGTTTGAAGCTGATCCAAATATAAAAGATGGTCGCCTTAGAATCTGATTGGCTGATATATCATCGACTTATTACCATGAGAAGCTGCAGTTATTGATTTCAAACTTGGTTGAAACATTCGGTATGAGGCTTTAATCAAATATCGCAATCCAAGAGATCCGACCTATCCTTGATTGGGCAACACCTTTCCTATGATTGGTTTAGAACGTTTTTGACCTCTTCTCGGGAATGCCTTCGACTATGTTCGTAAAACTTGATACATATATACCTTACAAGGTTCTCACTAAGTGTCGGAACATTTCGTACCAATCCGAAAATGTAAAATCTCGTTCTATGCCTCTGATAAGTTCAGAATTGTCTTTACTCATTCTCTACAATGACTGCAGCGATTGGTTTCGACCTCATTAGAAATATTGTAATCAATCTTTTTACAAAGTGTTATTACTTAAGGCTCGACTCCGAAAATCCAAGATGGCTTTCCTGGTCTCCTTTCTTTTTTACTTCTTCTTAAAAACGGTTTCAGAGATGAAATACAGACTCTGAACATATTTCCATATACATGTGTTATGAGGACTTGGCTAAGTGTTTTTTATTCTTCATATCGATACGAAAATCTAAAGACTTAGCCCATACCTTTAATACGCGGAGACATTTCTCACTTCTTCTCTAGATTAAATGCAGGAAATTTGATATCAAACAAATGTTCCAAAAAGCATTAAAGTCCATGGAACTCTTATGAACGAAGAATGCCTATATTCAGCATATTCACAACATTCCCATCAAGGCAGCAATCTTTAATATCTATGTTCTGTACGATAACGCAATGAATATGTAACTGCTAACAATACAGTAACACATTTATTGTAATCAATTTTCCTTCCTGCAGTGTGTATTTGCGGCCGGACATGGGTTCAAAAGAGGAGCATACAAGTGTGTGTGCCAACCAGGGTACTACTTTCCGGAAGTTGACGCTGATATCAAATACTTCAGCGGTATCGAAATAGAACGATTGTACTCAGAAAACAATACTGTCGCCATGGCGGGCATGATATGTAAGACATGCGCAGCAGGATGTGACACATGCGTAGACGCATCACCTTGTCTTTACCAAAGCCAGCTTGCTCTCCGACTTCCGGTGCTCATCTTAACCATTATCACTATGACCCTCATCATCATCGTCGCCTGTATCACATACATTTACCGGTTTGAAATGGTATGTACATTTAAACATGCAATAAAATAAATTACTGCATACTTCCCACCTCTCATAATGGAAAACTGTGGACAATAAATCACTTGCGACCACATTCCACTGCACACATAATCCCCTTTCATGGCCAATCATGATTACATGCCCATGAAAAAGTGTGGGCCCAGTGGACTGTGGTCACAAATGCCGTAAGAATGGGGAGATAATCAGTAAGTAAGTAACGAGTGCAAAGTGGAAATAATAAACTTAGTTGACACATTTAAAATAAGAAAACAAATTAAGTTAAAAATTGTAATTTCATGATTGAAAAACACAATAAGATTTCCTTATCACGTGAGAGGATAAGCATTTCCTGGAAAAAGTTTATAATCTTTAGGAGCTGTTTCTTTTTACAAAATAGCACATTCAAATAAACCATTCATTGGAAGAACTGGAATTCCTTAGGGATTGATAAACCCTTACATTGTATCAGAGACGTATAATACGTCTCTGATTGTATGTATGAAAATGGTTTTAATATCCTGTACCTTTGCCACATCTTAAAAAGTAAACTGAAAATGTAGTCAGAAATTCAACATTTTTCCCCGTATTTTGTTCAGATTTTGAACAGACACTCCTTACCTTCCCTGACACTGGAGCTGGAAAGTAGGTTATTCAAACACACTTGTTTCCATTATGAAGGATACACTCAGACTGGGCTATTGAGAATAAAGACAAAATTACCAGGTTCTGATTAGTACTCACTCAGACAGGTACATGTAAATTATCTGCAGTGTAGGGTAGGTAAAAAGATTGTCCAGGTGAACATTTTTTACTCAATTTTTCTGTTTTGTTCGAGTTGGGAAGCATGTAATTAGCCAGTTATTGCATAATTTCTCGTCACTCGGGACTTATTACACCCTCGCTTCGCTCGGGTGTAATAAATCCCTTGTTACTCGAAAACCATGCAATAACCTTTACGTATACTTACTTCATTGAGTACAGTTAACATTAATATAACATGACTGAGCGGAGTTAATGTGTAAGAGTACAGTCGACCTCAGAACGATCTGACCGGTTGAAGTTGACCTCACTACAATATGCCTGCGTGGATTCGACCTCATTACAATCTGACTAAGTGGAGTTGACCTCATTATAACCTGGGTGGGTGGGGATGACATAATTATAACCTAGCTGGGTGGAGTTGACCTAATTATAATCTAGCTGGATGGAGTTGACCTAATTATCATCTAGCTGGGTGGAGTTGACCTAATTATAATTTTATTCGGTGGAGTTGGCCTCATTTCAATTAGAATGGACAGAATTGACTCTGCTATAACCCGACCAGATGAAGTTGATCTAACTATGACCTGACTGGGAGGACTGAGACATTGCAGAAGATATATTTTTAAAAAATCCAGAAAGAAAAAGCTATCTACCATAGGATATAACTTTGACTGATTATTTCCTCATCGACAACATTTAAAGAAAATAAAGACACGTATTAAAGAAACAAATGACTTTAGTTGCTTCAGCGCAGTTCTTCTGTGAATAAAATCCAAATTCTTGCAGTAAATTACGAGATTTCGAGATTTTAAGGCCGTTGTTGTTACTTGATTAGAAATTCTCTCAGTCATTTTGAATTTGCGATTCATCTAATAGCACCTCATTGTTTAAGCAACCCTTTATGCAGTATGGCTTTTGTATTCTGTGATTAAGCATGGTTGTATATATTGTATTGATACGACCGCTGTATGAATGTCTTGCTGACATGTAATTGGGAGTCAAAAGCCACAAATTTGAAGGCGTGAAGCACTATTATATGTCATTTTGACCATTTTTATCGATCATGATTGCCGTTATACATGTATAAGTGAGGACCATTCATATGTGTGTGGGTTCTAGTACAAGGGGGATCGCTCTTCCTATTAACTATATGGTAATGTCTTGTGTATCATTGTCATTCTATCTCTCAATTCATTAACAGGCCATAAAAACCGGAAGTCCTATATTCCTGATGATTATGTGTACCGGAAGTATCCTGATGTGCACGAAGGTCAGAGACAATTTTCATTATCAATGTACTGGAAATACCATGATTGAACGTCCTAGAATCAATAACTGGCTATCATTGTTGATTCTGTACTCAAGTCCAATATCTTGTTCCAGCAATAAAAAGAATACACATTATCAATAATTCTTTGAGGATTTTAGTGGAATTAAGAACCGAAACCAGTTTCTGTGTTTACACTTAACTTTTTAAATGTATCATATTAAATACATCATATTTTAAGAGTGTTACAAGAAAATACCTTTGAGCACAAAATGCATGCTTGATCATGGGAACGGTTTCATGAAAACGGCTCTAGGTCTTAGCATAGGTCTTGTGTTTTGATTTTGTTTTATTCATGTTTTAATAAGAATTACACGTTCACGTATTTGCATTTGATTTATTGATAAATTGTTATATAACGTTCTTTTTCAGTAAAATAAAATAAAGCGCAACGTGAGAGATATGGTTTGGAGAGTCGCCATTTCCTGGAATATTAAAAAGGCAGTGATGTAGATAAGATTTTTATCAGAACCGATGAAAACATATATAACTCATCCTCTTATGATGCCGAAGAGATGCTAGTTGAACGCAAAATCTATCCAGCAAAAAAATATTTTAAAACCCAGTGGGATGTCCTTATATGTAGTATAATAGCCATTAACGCCGACATCATGATGTCAATGGAGCACCTTATTATAGATTGATACAATCCTCTACGGGAAAGGTACTAGAATAGTATTCAGCTGCATTTGGTATAGTATAGAATTATCCGCCTAGTTAGCTAAGGTAATAGCACCGTTGCCACTTCTTTTTCATAGTGAATATACTTTAAAGATACATAAACTTAATATCCTTAAGCTATTAGGTGGTTTTAGCAATTTCACCTTTGAATTTGAATAAACCTGCGGAATAATATTGTAGTGTTTCGTAAAAGTTTCGTCAGGTTGCGAACCGTTACTTTTTTTTACATACGTCTGAAACGTCGTCTGCTGTTGAAGCGCCATCTAGCGTTCGATTTAGAAAGGAAAAATATATACTAGAAATAGTTCAGTCTTTTGCTGTTATCTAAGCTCAGTACTGATTAATTTATTTCCATTAGTTTACCATGTGATAACCGGGTATTTTATTCCGGAGTGCGTTTCAATCGGATGCAAAAGTGTCCAGACTAACAATGTTGAATGATTCCAAATTTACGACAAGTGACTGTCTTTGACATTTTGATGTGATGCCATGATCATATATAGCCAGATTAATTTTCTTAGGACGTTAGTACAATTTATTGACAGTAACATGAGATGATATTGACAATCGGAATGTCAGAAAAAAGAACAATGGTAGACACCTTATTGTTTAGCACTCGTAACAAAATCAATAATAGTAATGATCCGTGGTTATGGATGAATAATCGCTAATCGTTTAAAATAGCTGTTTTGCCAGCTAGTACGAAAACAAAACTGTATTAGCAGTAACAGAAAGAATATTTCAATGTTTGCCCTCTGTTTGCCGGTAATTGCTTAATGTAACTTGGCGATAATAATCGTGACTTTTCGGAAATCATTGAGAACATTTTTGACGTTTTTAACTTTTATTTGATTACGACGTCAAAAGGAGGGGTTTGATTCTTCATAGAATTATTTGTTTAGTTAGTCACTCCAAGCGAAGAATATAATCAGCATCAACGTAATGTTCGTTCTAGATATTGAACACAATAAAAAAGATTTGTTCAACTTAAATTGTATTTGATATATAACCGAGTTATAACGATGCTATATAATTGCAATCATGGCGTCCACTTTAAATGCCTTAACATGACGTCAGAAAGGAGCATCCTGGAAGATTTTATGACGCTTCTCGAGATTTTGATTTGGTTTGGCGATTAGCCAATCAGTGGTTGAGAGGGGATTAACAAAAATCAAATCTTAATGAACTGAAATTGTTTTTTTATTAACATTTTGACATAATTAAGTAAGGCTTATATGTATCTTGTTTCTGAAATAGATGTTTATCGCCTTTCCGGATGCTACTGAACTGCTGTGTATCCTGGAACAATGGCTGTTTCATACCGGTTTTGTCCTCATGTATGGCGCACTACTGCTGAAGACGTGGAGGTAAGTAATTCACACAACTGCGACACAACTGTACACTGTACGGGAGGTAGGTAATTCACACAACTGCGACACACCTGTACACTGTACGGGAGGTAGTTAATTCACACACCTGCGACACACCTGTACACTGTACGGGAGGTAGGTAATTCACACACCTGCGACACACCTGTATACTATGTCGAGGTAGGTAATTCACACAACTGCGACACACCTGTACACTATACGGGAGGTAGGTAATTCACACAACTGTGACACCTCTGTACACTATGTCGAGGTATATAATTCACACAACTGCGACACACCTGTACACTGTATGGGAGGTAGGTAATTCACGCACCTGCGACACACCTGTACACTATGTCGAGGTAAGTAATTCACACAATTGCGACACACCTGTACACTGTACAGGAGGTAGGTTATTCACACACATGTGACACACCTGTACACTGTGTTTGGGGGTAAGTAATTCACACAACTTCGACGCACCTGTACACTGAATGTGGAGGTAAGTAATCCACACAACTGTGACATACCTGTTAGTGTATGTGAACGTCTTGTCTTTCTTAATTTGTCCTTAAATGTTCTAGATCAAAAAGGAAAAACGGAAGGAAAGTGGGGCATATTAACAGTGTAGGTTACTGATAGGTTAATATAAATCAGAGGCATTATGCAGATATATCACGGTTGAAGAGAACTTCAATGTTACGGTACATTTACATCACGGTATACTTGCATCGGTATTGATTGTTAAGTAGGGTCCAGGAATTGCCATAGAAGATAAAATTGTTTGTACACATTTCGTATCAAGTTGCATTTTTTAAAAAGTGTTTGGTGATAACAAGAATGAATTGGCGAAATGTGAAATGATTATAAGACAAAATATATGTCTTGCCAGACTTGTCATCACAAGTTCAACCTCCTCAAACATTCAATCTGGTCTGTTCTTTATTTATCAGTTAATCATCAGATGGTGAGCTATTCAAATCACCCTTCAGCCGTGGTCAATCCGTCCGTCGCCCGTCCGTAAACAGTTCTTGTTTTGATATTTCTCAGAAAGTGCTGAAGAGATCTTTACCCAATTTGATATATAAGGTTCCTTTGGACCCTAGTCGTGGATATACACTTTTACGACTGATTGGATAAACAAAATGGCAGGAAGTCATCCATCTTAAAATTTGACAGTTATGGTTGCCATCGCAGTTTGTCAGAAAGTCCTAGTAAAATCTTTCTCAAATGTAAGTTCCTTTGGTCTAAATATGTGCATGTTTACTTTCGAAACTAATCAGACATACACAATGGCTCACAGGTGGTCATCTTAGATTTTGACAGTTAAAGTACTAAAGGAATCTTTCTTATATTTGCTAAGTAGGTTTCTTAATTTGGGTTATAGTTGTGCATATTTACTTTAGGGACTGATTGGAAAGCAGAATGGCCGACAGGTAGCCATTTTGGATTTTTTGTTATCTTTATTTGTCAGAAAGTCCTGCAGGGATCTTTCTAAAATCAGATGAGCTTGTTTCCCTTGCTCCCCTTCTCCAAAGTATCCCTTGTCCTAATGATAATTCCTCCATCATTGACAGCACATCTAATGATGAAATAATTACAAAGTGTCAGCATGACCAATTTACCATATGGTTATGCAATTTTATACAATAACATTTACCATAGTGGAAAAATGACAAGGTTTAAGTTAATGTACAAAAATCCCATGGAGGATTTCCAGCATGGGACTGGGTAATAGTATCTGTAAGGAAAATGAAGAGTAAAGAAAGTTAAAGACCATCTTTTGTATATATGACAAAGATCCCCTCACGGTGGGCGACAAGATCCTTTTAAGATCTTTTGTTACATTATGTCATGAACTTTACCCTTAAAGGAACGGGTGCCAATAGTGCTAATACGTAGTTAGGCACAAAAAGGGAAGAATTGTTGGCATAAATGAGCCAATATATAACAAGTTCACAGTGACTTAATTATCAACCATGTGCTACTCTTTTCGACCATTTTTAATATTTGCAGCTTTAGTGTTACGCAATACACCAAAATGACGAAGAAACTTTAAAAAAAATAACATGTAGTGTTGTCAAAAAGCGTCCATTTGTGATTTTGATCCCCGACTTTACCCCCTCATATCTCGGGATTGTCTCCAAGTTGACCTTAATTTCATGTCATATCATGTACAAACAATAAAAGTTAACGGTAATAGCCACCAGAAGGCCCAAATTGGCACCCCTCCTTTGTATTAAACTTTCGGATCAACATTATCGTGTACATGAGATGGAGAACATGACAAGGTACTAGTCATAACGGTGTCCTACGTTATGGATACGTATCAAATCGATAAACACACTGTATATTATGTAAATAATCACAATCATCCGAAATCGACTTCAATCGATTTACGTGCCAAAGGCCAATATGCCTATTCCTAATATGATTTCTTATCCGGGTGCGAAATTGTGGCTAATTTCTACCCTATGACCATGCTTCACCAGTTCACGTGCTATTGTCAGTTTATTATCGCTGACATAATTAGATATAGTAATTCTATCGTGAAAGACTATCCAGATCGAAGGTAGTGGTAATGGATTTTTCTTCGTCAGTACATCAGACAAACGAGTTGTCACGTTGATATGCTTGCAAAATCCCTATAGAGAACATTTCTGCTGTTCTAGTGACCATAGTTGTTAATAGGACGTAAAACGCAAACAAACAAACAAAACTAAACAAAACCTGTCCAATCTGGTACCTTGTTATTAATATAAATCTATAAAACACCGATACTCCAATAACGTTCCATTTTTATCATATTTCGGGTACCTTCACTTCAATATAAATATAACTGCATAATTATCATTTTGGATAGGGCATATCGCTATGTAATCTAGTGTCAACAAGTCACATTCATTTTGCTGTTCGATTAATGAACACACTTCGATATGGCTTTAGGTCATTCGCTAAGACATATGTTAAAGATATATTATATTCAAAATGAACCTATAAAACCATTTGTTCTTTAAAAGTACTGTAAAGCGATTATTTCATGTGATTATGACATATTGAGACTGGATTTGATGTACAAACCAGGTCGCTGGTTAAAACATCATCCGAAATATAATTAAAATGGAACAATCAAAGGAGTATCGGTGTTTTATAGATTTATATTAAAACAAGGTGTGTTCATTGATTTGATACGTATCCATAACGTACGACAGCTATGCTCACTTAAGGGCGTCCCAATGGCATTGTAGTCTTATTTGTTTTTATTGTTTTGATTTTCATAATTTTATTAATTTAAGATTAATTTAAGAATACATACCATTCACTTGTATTGGGAAAAAATGCTGCATCATAGTAATAAAAAGCGTTCATTCTAGATACTGTTCCATTTCATTACCCTCGCGTTACAGACACTTTATCAACACTACGGCATATTGATATAGACCTATTCATGGGCTCACCAGAAAAAGATGTTTCCCCTCATTCTATAAAACAAGACTTTGCAAAATCGTTTTCATGTTTATATATTAATAACAAACTTTCATTATGCGCTAAACAATATCACAGAGGTCAGTGACATTGTTTGAGATTGATCCAAGGATCTTGACGTCTCCCTGAATAAGCTTAAATACAATGTTCAACATCATAAACTGTAGTAAGCGGCTATTTTTTAATCAAGAAACACATATAAAAACAAATATAGTGTAGAATTAAGTGCTGTTTTATGGCTCGCGGGGAAATATTTCTGGTATAGCACTATTGTTCGGCCGGTGAGTAGGTCTGTACCGGTATATAATGGCAGACCGGTGTTGAACAGTGTCTAATATTTCAGGAAAATATTGAAAACACAGTAATTTGTTGAGGCAGACAACTATCTCTGTCTCTGGTTTAGTGAAAAGCCTTTCATGCGCAAAACAACACTTGTTTTATTTGCATATCACGATATTTTGTGTTATTGTTGACATTTTTTCTGCGATTCACATCAATGCTGCACCAATATGAGTTGTTTTCAGGAAATCTTACAGAATTAATCAGGACTTGTAATCTACTAATACATAAATGCGCATTGGAACCTGAACTGTCGTCTGCAAACAGTAGAGTGGAAGATTAAAGAGGAGACTCTTTAGCCACAAAAAAATTACCAGAAAATATCTAAGTTCCAACAAAAGCACAATTCGACTTCAAACCCGATAACAAAAAAAACAGGGGAAATAGGAACAAAGATTCGATTGGATACGAGTGAAAACATTCATCTGTCATAATTTTGTGTTTATTTGTCAGGTATCAGGCAAACAAAACATCGACTCATATTCACACGAAAACGCATGTGGTGTCTGATTGATAGAAGCCAGTAATAGGCAGGAAAAAAATTGTTGATTCTATTTGCCTGAAACTGATAGCGATCAACTGATCATGCTTGCCAAAAAATAGCAATTTTTCTCTTAGTGCTGGTTTTGTTAACTATCGTGAACTTCTACGGTTTGCGCATGCGTTGAACGGAATGAAGTTCTATGTTTAAACATATTCGGGGTTTCCTTGCATTTTTGCATTGTTAAGAATACTTTCCCATTAAGCTCACTACATGTACAATGTTCCTTATAAAATTGAATCGATATCATTCTTAATCCTGATTTAAACTTAAAAAGATATGGAAATAGTCCAACTTGACCCTAACCTTTAAGCAAAAACAAAACAAAAAACAAAACAAAAACAAAAAAATCACTGAAAAGCTGGTCATCGTGCTTTTTTGTCTTTTTAAAGAATATCGGTGATATTTCGGGTCTTAATCCTGATTTAAACTTAAAAAGATATGGATATAATCCAACTTGACCCTAAACTTGAAGCAAAAAACCACCAAAAAACAAAACATTTTTTTTTTTTTTACTGAAAAGCTGGTCACCGTGCTGTTTTGTCTTTTTACAGAATATCGGTGATATTTAGGGTCTTAATCCTTAATCCTGATTTAAACTTAAAAAGATATGGATATAGTCAAACTTGACCCCGAACTTTAAGCAACCCCCCCTCCCCCCCAAAATAAAACCCCCCAAAAAACAAACAAACAAAATACTGAAAAGCTGGTCACCGTGCTGTTTTGTCTTTTTACAGAATATCGGTGATATTTCGGGTTGGACAGTTGAAGCGTGTTTACCTACCAGATAAGATTCTCCTCCAGAGGATGATCCCCCTCCTGGCGGTCACCGCAACCTATCTGACCGCCTGGACAGCGTCCGAATGGCCACGAGTGACCACGAGAAGGACGGTTAGCAAACTCAAATTCCAAGTTTGTGTGCAAGGGTGGTGGTCGTACGGGATGCAAGGAGGTACGGTTTAGTATTCACATTTAATGATATCAGTTTATCATTTAGTTTTACAGTTAACAATGTTTATCGACTAGATTAACCTGCACGCATGATATTACTGTATCACACGTGTACTAGCCTCGTTCGTGGTGGAGAAGAGAAAATAAAAACAAGCTATGTCGTTNCTGCACGCATGATATTACTGTATTACACGTGTACTAGCCTCGTTCGTGGTGGAGAAGAGAAAATAAAAACAAGCTATGTCGTTCATGTGATGTTCCATGTTGTGACAAAACTAACGACGAATATCACATAACTCATGATGTTTTTAATTTTCCGTAGAGAAAATAGTCAGATTTCAACGACGATCTCTTTGTATTACCAGTATTGAATGGTTTACATGTATGAATAGGTGAAAAATCATTCAATTCCTATAACAGTTTGATTCCATCTAAACGTGTTTCAAAAATGTTTAATTATAATATAATATTTTTTCTTGATATCGCCACCAGCACGTACAGGTATCTTAACAAATATGGCAGATTTAAGATGTACATAAGTTTACGATCGCCTTCTAGCTTCGCACAAGAGTGAAGTTCCTAGCTTTAGCTCGATAAATAGAGCAGCGGATTGGAAAGGTGGGGGTTACGGGTTCCATCCCCGGTGGAAGCACACTACTCTCTTTTCTGTTACACAAACAACTGAAGTGAAGCTCTTCATAGCCAAAATTCACTACTAGACCAATAGCTTGATAATTATAAAAGGTTTCGTAAAGCTAGCCAGCATAGATAAAGACATGAGCACTTGTAAACACGTTTTGTAAAGTCATTCTAAACAGCCTTCGAGTTGTCATCATGTCAATGAATCAGATCTAAAAAAGGGAGATATCATCTTCCCTTGTGAAGCGCTGCCAGCTATAACAATTATTTTACTTTCTGATTTTGTTCAGAGTCTTCCGATGTGTCCCTTTGTCTATAGAATTGCAAGGAAAAAAGAGGGAAAACAATGCTATATTGTCTACGTTAGTATGGAATCTATAAGAATAGGCTGACCGAGAATCTCCATGTCCTGAAAATAGGTTGCGATATATATAAACATAACTGTGAATTCTATCCAAGCTGTGAATATTTGTAGAGGATGGTGTTAATATAATTTACACGTGTGAGGGTCTGATAAAGTAATATGCTATATGTGTTTTATATCCGATGTTGTCGTCTCGTCTAGATTGAACTAGCAAATATAGTACCCATATATTACACCGCTGTTACGTCCATGTACCGGTCTTTGATTATGCAGAGGAGGCGGATGTGTCTTTTATGATCAATTTGAAAGGTTATGCTCTCAGTGCTGGTATATGATGTCTCAAACAGGAACGAAACTTCCAAAATATATCGAATAATGAGTAGTCTAATCAGTATGATGACACGAGCCAAAGTCACATTTAAACATATAAGCATGATATCCTTAAGTACACAAATACCAGAACATTTAGAAGTTCTGGTTAATTTCAAGTCAATAATTGGTAAAATCAGAGACATATAAAAATCATCATTGTGGTATTTATGCTTTATCTTCCTGATTTATTTTTCAGCCGAAGCCATCATGCTTCTTGCCGGAGTGTACTTGTGCTTTACTGTAAGAAAAGCGCCGGCCCACTTCAATGAGAGTAAACACATCACATGGTCTACTTACAACGCCATAATCCTCGGGACATTCCTCGTCATCGTCATGTAAGTCTCGTTCAAATCTCGTGTGAATGTTTATAAAGGATCGCGTTCTTTGCTAGAGTTGAGTTAAATAGAATGACCACTAACATAAACGTAAAATAGTGGATTTTTTTATGTAGAATTCTTTCATTGTATTCATCCTCCTATATTTACGTGAGAGATATTTCCCAATATTACAATACATGCATATTCAATTAACGAAACCATGATTGTGTTAATTAGGAAAACTTCATAACATGCGTTTATAAGTCCAAATTGTCATGAGGTGTATTACATTGTTAAAACAGAATATTATAATTACCCTGTTCTTCCGTCAGTTCGTAGACAAATCAGTTCTTGGACCGAAACTTTCTATTTCTTCCTATCAAAATCTTAGGGATATATTTTAAAGCCAGACAGTAAAAAGTACAAATCCAGGGTAACCGTTACTCGTTGTGAAAAATCAATGAAAAATGAGGACGTGTACGCGAAAACTGTTTCGAAATTGATCAACTGAAATGGGCTAGCGTCCCTACTAGGACGCTGAATCATCACAAGATATCTGCCAACGGTAAGAAAGATAAACATAGTTTGGTTGAAGGTCTAGTTTAAAATGCAATACTGTGCGAAAACGAATTCAAAATTCCAAGAAAGGCTTTTTCAATGCAGTGTGTTGAAAAGTCACTGAATGTTTACAAACACAAAGGTCACAAAGAAACAGATTGTGGTTCAAAGGGTCAATCCATCACGAAAACATTGTTAGCAAACTCAAAATGGAGCTTTTTTTAACGTAGATCAGTGTAACGATACCGGATGGCAATTGGTAAATGAAGAACCCGAAAGGTTTGATGTTATCAGAAGCTTTTTTATGTGCAAACAATTTGCGTTTTATTGCATGCATTACCAATCAGTGTGTTGTGGTTTTAGCTGGCGTTTACAAATCCACCTTTTAATATTACGTCACAACACTGTGTCACTGGTGTATTGATTACATTTCGATGTGTATGATTAAAAGAATCTTCCCCTACCATGAGGGTGTGACAGAGAAATCTCCAAACCGAAGGATGATATTCTTGATGGTCTTACCCGAGACTTTGATTGTTTTTCTTCTATCCTGTTTCACTCACAACTCTGCCGACAAGAGTGTTCTCTCATGGTCTGCTACTGTTGACGTGGCGTCAATACATTGGTGACGTGACGTCATACTTTTGTTATGGCTTATGCTAGATCGCGCCATTCTGCACGAGTCTATCTCTCCCTAGGGTGTGACAAGCTGATCTTTTGCGGCTTATGAGGGAGACACACATGTGAAGGGTGGGAGAAGGGTGTCATGTCCTGGTGTCATCTCATAATGTTTTCATGTGAGGACATTATGTGAGGATGACTTTAGAGATTGTCATGGGAGAAGATATATCTGAATATTTTTTATATTTCAGACATTTCATCAGCAACACAAATTCTGGTCCGGATTATGTCTACCTTATATATTTCCTACAAGTGCAAGTGTTCGTAACCATCACATCTGCTCTAATTTTTACACCAAAGGTAAATTGGTTTTTTTTTAAAACAAATCAATGTCATTATTGTACCACATATAAGTTTATTTGTTCAATTCCATGTTATGGTTCATGAAATAATGTATATCATCTTATTTCAAAAGGAAACTTTTTTTAATGGAAATAATAATTGTTTCCTATATATAAAATAGTTTTAAAAATTCTGCCACTTATCTCTGGAAATCAGTATCGGTTATTGCATTGTTTTACCCATTTTCCTGTCGTTTGTAAAGTCATTGTTTTGTAATTTGTTCTGGTGTGTTGATACTGGGTTTTTCCCCAATGTAATTTGTGACCTGAGTTTCCTAAAGCTAAACCCTCGAAAAACAAATGCTTTCGTCAAATAATTTGTACTTACATGTTTTATAATAATAACAAAAAATATGTTTAACATGAAATCACCAATCGTATTTTCAGTTTTATGCCCTGTACAAAAAAATTGAAGTTCGTGAACTAGATAATGAAAGTATGCCAACAGTCTCGCGCACTGTTACTGGGCGGGAAAAGGTCAACGTTATGAAGGTCATTAATGCAAAAGCACCGAAAAGGACGGTATCCACGCAGACGGAGGACAAACTGACTTTGTCATCGGAATGGGTCAGCAAGGTATTATCTCAATCAGGCAGATGAGGGACAACAGTTTCTTAACCCACCTTCACGTATTATTTTATTTTGAAGAGCTGGTGCCATCTATTTTTAATCAATCTAATCCCGCCGTTTTATAATATTTTTCTCATAGTCTTTTTATAATTTCAGAGACGAACAAAACTTCTTTTCACTCGTATGCCTTTTTTGTTCCAATCCCCATCTTCCTGATCACTTCTGAGCCAAGTAGTTGTTGAAGATGGAGATATATGGTTATAAATGATATATTATCAATCATTGTTATATATTTTGAGTATACAAAACAATTGGCTTCGTGCAACGTTTTAGTGGCACAACTTGTGCTGTACAATTACACTAGAATAGCAAGCACAGATATTTTGAAATGTAATCCCCCCTAAAAAAGATTTTAATACGTAAATCCACAAGATCATAATATTTGAAATCGCTATTTTACTTTTTCCATATTTTACAATATAAATACGTGTAGAAATAAAAGGTGTATGTAGTACTTGTATTGATCAATAAATGAAGTCAAAACAAAGTTTGAAAATGTTTCTCCTCCAAGTGCTTTCATCCTTTTAAGGGATATATAGGGATAATATAACAATTTACGTACATAAACGTAATTAAAAAGTATAAAAATGAATGTTCAACTTTTTCAGCGATGACAGTAACACATACACACATGTGATTGAATCTGAAACGTTGCAGTACCCAAGCTACCTTCGCGAACACTAAGACTAATAAAAGTAAAAACATATTTTGAAAATGACGCGCATGCGTTCTTTATGATCGATCAAAATGTTCAGATGGTATATGTTGCTTTCAATATAACAAATCTAAAGAAATATATAATGTTGCAAAAACCAATATCATAACCGGACCAAAGTCGCATCTAAACATATATATATACATATAGTACCTTACATGAGTTTCCATTTCATATGAAATTTATGAACAATTCGTGACGAGTTCATTATTTTCATATGAAATGAAAACGAGTGTAAGATCTTTTTTATCACATAATCAAGATTTGTGGCATTTATTCGTGTAAAACAACAACTTTCATGCAACCTTGAAATGTAAAAACCGCGTGACGTCACAATTAAAACAATCAAAATGGTTAACCAATCACAGGGCTGATAGGTCATTATACAATCGCCTCGATCAATATCACTCTTTCAGGTTCATATCACATCAGGTTTACCAGCACAAAACCCCATACATGTTTTATTATATGCTTCAACAATAAAATAGAACAAAACAAAACTCAAGGTTCTGATTTTTGTACGCGATTTAGTCAGGTTTTAATTCAACAGTTCAGCATTGTAGCTTTCGAAAACATCGTCTAGGTTCTTTATCTTGAATTAAGCATGGAAGACATGCACTGCATGTTCAATAGCCTTTTTTTATGTTAACAGCATCTTTATCCTCGAAAAGTTTTTGAAAGTTTATGATGTAACTGAGGAGAAACGTTCGCCAGCAGCCATCTCCTATTGTCGTCTGACATATCGCGTTCCGGTCTAACTGCGCATGCGCTACGACAGGTTCCGGGGAATTTCCACATAGGCTATATTTAGAAATCGATATTCACCGGATAACCAGTCTGCATGAGTCTTTGAGGATTGGTCACGTGTATATGATCCGACCAATGTGATTGCGAGAAATTGTCATGCATATAATAAATAACATGGGTTTATACGCCAAAAAATATGACATCAGTATATTCATTGGATAACACAGTACATTATGTGATAAATGTATAAATACATGTATTATGAACGTATGACACACACACACACACACGCACATGTAAATAAAGTAATATATACAGCATGAATTACACTGCATCATACAGATGTTTTGTCCTTCAATGGTTCGTCGGTGATGTTAGGGATTGCATGCATTTATTCATACGGATGAAAGTTCAACGATAGGTGTCATCCCTCATGACAGTTACGAAGAGATGACGCTAACATTAGTCCATTAAGATGAAATCAAACAGCATTTGCTTTCATAAGCGAACAATGTTAAATCGGAGGATCGGGTACAATTTGTAATATTTTACCGTTTTTGTACGCATGCATATCTGTCAGACAGGCATAAACAGATTCTGACCTAAATCTCCAACATAGTTTAATTAAGGAGGAGGCTTCCATTTTCACTTGCAATCGTATGTAACTACAGCACAATGACCCCCAGGGGAAAACTCTTTGTCAGTGTATTATGAGTGATATTTCTGTTAATTTCCGGCAGGTCTTGTTTCATTTGAGATTATAAAGCTGTCAGGTTACTTGGCTTTGATGTTCCAGAACACCGAGCCAATGTTTGAGACATCGTTCAATACGATCGGCGTGCTTGTATTGATGTCTTGTCTACTGTTATAGGAGACGATATGGCTACGTTACTTGTCACGTGGTATAGGATGAAAATGTCGCAGTAAATATACATTCAAGGGTTTATTGGTTTGTAATTTAACCATAAAAATACCAATATCGAATAGAAAAACGATTTTACATACTCAAATTTTAACGTATCAGCAATTCAGGATTTCTGTACAAGCAAAATAGAAACAAAATCCAAAGGAAGTTTCATCGAATGTTTCATGTTGTACCAAATTATTTCGATTAAGTGTGACAAATAGATTTGCTTTAAAAACCCTAAAACGCTTTTACAAGCGATTTTTATTGACAGATGTATGCTTCAACCTTTCAGACTCCTTCTCAAATAACGATAAATCTGACCGGTCGAAATCGAGTTCATCCTGCCCGTCCTGCACTTCCACTTGACCCACATGAGGAACAAGCATAACAACGGATAGGATGAAGGTGTCATGTATTCCCGTAAGACGATTAACGCTTCTACCGTTACGGTTGATGTCGCATGGAAGAATTATCTTGTTTAAAGGATAGTGAATGACACAGTTTTGTAACGTCAATTTTAGGAAACAGAACATTCTTGTCACAGATCCAATACAACGAAAGCTGTCCATCTTCAATAACGTTCCTTCAACAATAAATCCAGCGGGATGTCATGTCTACGACTTGCATTGGAGAACAAAGATTACAGCGAAAGTCGGTTGATGTGCAACAGCTCATGAACAAATGTGACATTTTATCATCTAGAGCTAATGTCGGCGAATTTCTTCACAATAAGAAGTACAATGTATTATCTGATGCCTGAACAGAATGTTGGTTAAGGGTATCACAGACTATATAAATACGGCAACTATTAAAACCGAAGTTTCTCAACCCTTGGTTAGGCATTGCCTTGGACAAGTTCTCTTTTTAGACTATATAAATACATTGCCAGCCAATGAAATTGCTACATTTTTGTCAGAGGCGGGATAAAGATTATGATAATGATTTTGTTGTCATTTCTCCAGGTTAGAAAGGTAAGAAATGTGCGACAGAACTGGTCAAGGCAACGAGCCTGCCAACTGGAAACGCATTACCTACATAGTCTACGCGTATAGCCGCTACAAAAATACAAAAAGAAAATTATTGCAGAGACCAATCCAGTAAAATATCGCTGCAAATGTCAATAGTGTAGTAGTAAGTTTCTGCTACCACTAGCCCTCAACCACTTGGTCGCGGGTTCGAGACCTACGTTGGTGCAGTCGCCAGGTACTGACTGTCGGTCGGTGGTTTTTCTCCGGGAACTCTGGCTTTCCGTCCTTAAATGACCATATCTGTTAATAGGACGTAAAACACAAAAAAACCAACCAAGTGTTGATACGTAAAATCCGTCCAAATGATATAAAGTAGTTCATTTTTCACGAAAGGATGATAAGTCGGATGAGGAATAAATTTGTACATTACAAGTACACGAGAATATCATTATATCATTATTGCGTTTATCAATTTATTGATTTTACAAATGATGCGCAGAATATGACCGAAATCGTTCAAAACGTTTCGAAAAAATAAACACTTTCGATCAGGTCATTTTGTAACCGAATGCTTGTCATGTGAAATGAAATTGATACATGTGTTTTATGATAGTTTTTTTTTTTTTTTTATTCAATGTTGCATTTTAAATATCGATGATTTTCTTTTATTTAATAAAACATTTATTAAAAAGAAACTCTTTGTTTATCATGAATACGGTATCTTCATCCTGCACCAATTGTTATTTCGTAAAATTTAATAAAGAAATTAAAAAAAAACACCATGTTATATATCAAAAACCTGTGTCTTACCAATGACTGTTTTTGTGCTTTTGAAGATGACAACCACGAATTTAACGATGTACATTTCTAGTCAAGTAGCACAATCGTACGAAACGAAATAAACCTACAAATCCAAATCCTATATTCACCATAAAAAATGACCTTATTCTTATAAATCCAAACCCCAAATTCACAATAAATATAAACTTTATTCATTTTTCAACAGTTGTGAAACAAATTATTAAAACTTTCATTTATCACTCTTGTTGGCCCGGATGTTAGCGCGCTCAAGAATCTTAATGTGGGAAGAAAATCGGAATTCCAGGAAACAGCCCAAGTGGCCGGCCAGGTGACCCCATACCTTTTCACTTCTGATCGGGGAATCAAATCTATGCCGCCTTGATAAAAAGCACGTGCATTATCCACTATGAAACCCGACCATTCAAATTCAAACTCGTACAAAATCAAACAAGAGGCCCAGAGGGCCTGGTTCGCTCACCTGGATATTTGATCATGGGAAAATAGTCTTAATAAAAGTACTTTTGCAAATATTTCCATAAATCGAGTCTCCTTAAAGTTTTTCTCGACTTCATGAAACTTTATACTTCTCTATCCCAGCATGCTATTGGTAAAATATCATCACCTAGGACCTTCTGGTTTTTTCGGAAGACATTGTTTGAAGATATTTACATATTTTACCCCTGTGACCTTGAAAGAAGGTCAATGTCATTATTTGAGGAAATTGTATAAGACTCTGTCCCAGTACCTACTGGCCATATAGCATGGCCCTTTGTTCTCCAGTTCTTAAGAAGAAATCGTTCAAAGAAAAAAGTTGACGGACGACTGACGACGGACGGACGACGGACAACACGCCATACCATAAGCTGAACTGGCACTCCGTCCGTGTCAGGTTAGCTGATAAAAGTAGACTTTGAAATATCCAAACTGCGAATTTACCATGGTGCGAATCCATTTTTTAATTTCAATTCGTCATGGGAACCAATTCTCGTAATCAAACACGTACCAGTGTTCAAAACTCTTTTAACATTTTTATTTTGTTTTTAATGCGCACAAATTCGCACGCTTCGGATTGCGAAGTAGGATAACATGCACTCACTTTAAATGGTTAAACAAACCTCTATGGTTTGAACAAACAAGGTTTTTTGGAATTTATTTGGAAACCTGTTTCTAGAAACGGAAGCAGTGGTTCTATTTGCAGTATATGACAACACCTACCGGTAGGATACTATGTTGCTTTATTACTAAACCACCTGTTGGTACCACAGTTTTGAGGTAAAGGTGTTAAGCGCCTTGTTGATTTGCAAAAGTAGAAGTATTATTGCAAATGATGCAGGTGTATGATTGATTTGATTTTGTCAGCATGCATATCAACCCCTGTATATCATCTGATGATCTAGTTACCAGAGGCGAAATAAAACTCGAGGTTGTGCTTGAAAGACATGGTATAATCACTGGTACGACACTAAGAAACAGTTTTGGGTGCATTTCTGCTGGTAGTGTAAGGAGTAGTCTCGTTCAACCAGACGCTTGATCACTTTGTAATTCAGTTCGGCGTAGCTTGCTCAGACAACAAGAGTCTGATTGAACGAGACTATGTAAGGAGTTGTAACATCGCAACAAAACGGCCGTACAATTGAAGGAAGAAATTTCTTTTGATCAAACTGAGTCTCTTATAGGATATATATTCTTCGTCTTTAAATAAGCAACAAAGAAACAGTTTTCCTGTTCATTTTAATTCATTACATGCAAAGACAAATGCACACTGAAGGCAATGGACGGAATTTGGAATTTAACACAAAATTTCTTATCAGCATAGAAATTAACAGTAATAAATAGTTACTTTCATTACACATCAACTGACAATTTCCGAAAACCACAAAGCGTTATGGGAAAATGCCTTAAATATTAAACATGTATAGCGGCCATGTTGCATTAAGAATCCAATCAAGAAATCAAAATGCATTGGAATAATAAAAATATTTGTTGTAGATAATGAACACAATTACACAACATCACTAACACTGAGGCTGTATTTGTCAACATCAAGTTTGCGATGGTAAATCTTACATAGATCTGACACGGCGTCTTCTTCTCATGTCCCAAGTTCATGTCAAAATTGATTATCGTGAAATTGCACCAAAATTTTGGAAGACAATTGCATTATACAAATTTTCCATTTGAAACTAATTATCAAAAAAATCCAATTAACCACATTAATTCTGATAAACGGGTAATATAGCCTAGAATAATCCCGTTTCCTTTAAGTGCCATTAATTCAATGTCATGGTTAAAGACATATTCACTGCTTCAAGGACATATCGGGTGCAACGTGTTGTGCAGGGAATGCCCGTCCATCGAATTCCGAAGATAGAAACTAATGAATATTCCTCCGCGGTGTAGTACCAAAATGGCTGCATACATTTTTCAATTGATAAGATTTCGAACACTTAAAATTAATTTTAAAATCGGAACAATGACAAATATTTTAAGTTCAGTAGCAAAACAAATTACGCATAGATACAATTGTAAACACAACGTTTTCTACCCGAAATCAGTTAAAGTTATCACATCAAATTCCTACGCGACTCGTTGTTAGTAAAACAACGGTGTTAATCACTCTACAATTAGTTTTGTTTGTTCTGGGTGTAACGTGCTCGCAACAGCCAGGGTCACGTGAGGACGGGCACTCGACCAAGCAATACAAACTGTGACAAACCTTCATCATCCATTCTAAAATATTTGACTAAGTTCTATTCATTATACAACGATCCTTTGTTTCACATCACCTATTTCTTCTCATTCTATTCTTATTGGCACGGGCATCTATATCTCCCCCTACCTCCACCCCCCACCCTGTACCCCTTTTCTTTTACTCTCATTCCAAATATCCCTTGAACTATGTATAAAAGTAAGCTACTGTTTTAAGTGTTTATATTTCTTTCCATAGAATTCAGTAACTATACCATCATGCCCTAAATTAATGAGATACATTCTCGGAAACGGATTTATATAAGTTATTTCAACTTGTTTCCGGATCCCATTCCTCTGTACTTTGTATGTTATGTGATGTAATGCAACTTAATTTGGAATGAAATAAAGTTTATATTAAACTGTGACAGAGAGAATCTCGAAGATTTGTGACCAATATTGTTTAAAGTTTATCGAACACTCGTAACTTAATTTTATATTATATAAGCAATACTCGCTAAAGCTTATTTTCGTTTCAAGAATAACGAAGTCGAGTTAGATAAACATTATAAACAGTATTCATTTTTTCATGATTTTCTATTTGTATGGAACCGTACATGACACACGCGGACATAGGTATTTCAGTTATTAAACGATATAAATGTTTTACACTGGAAATCTTGCTATCTTTTTTAATCATCGTTTTGATGCATGTTTGAGGTGAATTACACTTATAATTAAAATTATTTGTAGCAGAACAAAAATAAACACAAAAATAAATAAAATTCATCCAACAAAGAAAGTAGAAAGCAAATTCCAGTCGCAGAAACCTAAGTGTCAACAACTAGCATCATTTCTTTCTTTCTTCTAAACTGGATGAAGTTTTGCGAACTGAGGAAGTAGTTGGAGATATTCAAAATATTTTCGTCCCCTTAAATAAAATGTGTTCATTTATCAACTTGAATAAATAAAACAAGCTTTTGTATTTAAAAGAGATCTAGATATTAATATGTGTTAGAACAAAAGCCAATTAAAACACAAATAATATCACTAGTAAGGATTTGGGTTAAAAATGAAATTACCAGAAATATCAACTTCCAACCAGAGACATTGTTTTCATTAAAATGTTAAACTGGTTTAAGGTAATGTTGAAAATGATGTAGTCGATAAAACAACCTGACCAATCGGACTCAGGAATCCTGAATTCACATTCACACATAAGATATTGAAATTCACATAAGATATTGAGAGGTTAACACACAATGGTGACATCAGTTTTTCATTTTAGACACAGCCAGAAATGTTATTCTATTTGTGCATATCAACAAATCGTTGCAGAGGAATCGGCAGTTGCGCCCGGAAGCGGATGTCATGGTCTCGAATGACCTTGACCGCTAAGCACTGGAGCGTGTGATATTTCACAGGACACAGTGTTATTCCCCGAACCTTTATCATGACAAAGAGTGAATTGTTGTCGATATCAATTAAATCAACATGGATACCGTAATCTAGGAACAATTCAATAACTTTTTTTGTGAAAAAATTGAACTTTTCAATCCATTTCAGATGACTGTGTAACGGGGTGTCTCTTTTCAAATCCTGTACATTGACGTTTGCGCCTGCCTGAATTAGTTCTCTGGTGACGCAGAGATCCTCGTGGCGTCCCTCCCGTGGACCCTGCTCCATGAAATGGAACACAAGTTTGGGCTTTCGGGTGAGGGCCTTATGTAAAAGGGACATTCCGTTAATATCACATAAGTCCATCCCGACCAGGCGTCTCATCTGAGAATTGAAGAAGGCTTTCTCCTCAGAGGACTTATTGTTGTCCTTTAGCAGATAAATCATATCGAACACATGACTGATCACTTTATCAAAAACATTCGAATTCTGTATGAAATATTGTGTATTTGTTTGTTTGAGGAGATGTGCTTTCTCCAAGAAGTCAATCATATCTCGAAAAACTTCCAAGATGTCCTTAAACCTTGGTATTGAGACACCTCGTAGGGTTTGTATCTGAAACTTTGAACAGATTTCAAACAGTTGAGATAACGCAAACTCTTGCATCCTATGAAGAACTGTGTACTTATTCAGCAACAACGAGTAAACGTATCGTGTCATATCAAACGCTTGAACAAGGTCATCGTTATGCAGGAGTGACGTTGACTGTAGAAGAATTCTTTGAATCGTGTCCCAATGGGTCGGACCAAGCTGGTGTGACGTAATAGCGAGAGAGAGAGCATCCATAGCGTCACAATTCTTGGCCAATGAGATTAGGTCAGAAATGGAATTAGGTACATCGACGTCCTTCCCAAATATCTCTGGAATTTCCCGCAGTGAGGTCTCGCCACCATGTAACTCGGTCCGGATATACATTGCCCGTAGCCAGAACTCGTACCCTTCTTTATAATCGCCCTTGCCGACAGCCATGGCCCCCATCAAGTCATAAATGTCGGCCGACTTTGGAGCGTTGGCGTGGATACTGTCCATCAACAACTCCACGATATCAGGGGCGTACACAAGAACAGCGTATCTCAGACAATCGTTCCCTTCAAAGTCTTTTATCATAATACCAGCACCGTTGCGCACCAGTAGTTCTACTGTTTCCATGTTATGTGCTTTTATAGCGTGATGCAGAATTGAATACTGATTTTCTTTTCGGTAGTTGAGGTCTGCGCCATGGGTTACTAAGATTTTGCATATTTCTAGGTTATCTACGGAGTCCTTTAGACAGGTGCTTCCTAGTGTATCTGGAATATTGACGTCACTTCCGTTATTGCACAGCGTTTTCACCAACTCTATGTTATTCATGTAGCAGGCTGCATGAACTGCTGTCGAACCAGTTTCACAAACAGCATTGACATCAGCACCATTTTCAGCAAGAATCTTAACAACTTCAGGTTTCTCTTCAATTGTTGCAAGCCATAATGGTGCGACCAACATGTCCTTTTCCCCACAGTCGTACTTTCCCTTCTTGTTGGTATCGGCACCACATTCGACCACAAAATACTTCACCATTTCCTCCGTTCCCTTCTCGCACGCGACAAACAAAGCAGCTTTCCCATCTATTTCATAATCTACCACAGCTTTGCGATCGGCTTTAGGTAAATCTCTTAAGGCATACCTGATTGTTCTAATGTTTTTAGAAGCAATATTCTCTAGTACGAAAGCTGCTAACGACTCGGTAGTGTCCGGTCCCTCTTGTTCTTCAGTTGACATCTGATCTTTGATTCCGTCAAGGAATTCTTGGACTACTTTTCGAAAGTTTACTATTTCTTCTGCAGATGTCTGTTCAGTATTGTTGACATCCTCTGATGTCCGTTCAGTACCGCTGACATCCTTTGATGTCTGTTCAGTACCGCTGATATCCTCTGATGGCTGTTCAGTACCACCGACATCGTCTGATGGCTGTTCAGTACCGCTTACATCCTCTGATGTCAGTTCAGTACCGTTGACATCCTCTAATGGCTGTTTATAACTGTTGACTTCCTCTGATTTCTGTTTTGTATTGCCTGCTTCTTTTGCGTCCTGTTCAGTACTGCCATCTTCCTCTGATATCTGTTCAGTACTGCCAACTTCCGACGATGCAGGTTTAGTACTGCCAACTTCCGATGATGCCAGTTTAGTACTGCCAACTTCCGATGATGCCGGTTCAGTGCTACCGACTTCCGCTGTTATCAATTCAGTACTATCAATTTCTTCTGTTGACTGTTCAGTTCTCTCGACTTCCATGATCGAATCTTTTGCTTGACCGATCTGATTTTCTGACAGTTGCTCAAGCTGAGTTAAGCGCCTTTGTTCTTCTTGGTAAATACTTTCAGCTGCAGTCAGGATAGTATCTACGCTATTGAGGTTGCGTAATGGAGCCGTCCGTGGTATTACTACTGCATCAACATCTACAGGACTAGAAGTACTGTTCGGAATGTAGGATACGCGTTCCTCTACGGGGCCGTCCTCCGGTGTGATATTACTAATAACGAAATTTCCAGAGTCCGAAATGTCAGCTTCGTTGCCGGATTCAGTTCCCCTATGAACTGCCCCATTTACTAGATCACGTCCAGATTGTGGTTGTAAACTGTCTACGTCATCACTTCCGTGAGATGAACCAGGTGGTGCCGTGGTGTCTACGTCATATCCGACCTGCCTTGCTTGATTACAACCTGTTCCAACAAAGACGTTCGGTTGATTAGTCTCATCAGAAGCATGAACATATACCTGTCCATTACAACTTTGGTCTGTGACTTCCCCAGATGTGTCCAGTCCATGGTTATGTTGACCATTTCCGTCCCCTGAAGAATTTCCGTCAGCTTTATCCATCAGATCCGTTTATGACCTGCAACGTAAAGTAGAACTTAAATAGGGTTAATGAAACAAATGAAATAATATTATATTTTAAAGCAGTTACTGTATACCAATGTAGGTATTTTGTTAAGAATGGTAGATAAACATTATGGAAAGCTCAACAGGGCATTCTTCTCAAAACAGCTCAAATAAAATAGAAATAACTCAATGTGTTTAGATAAATAACCCGTAACACTACCCCTGACCCCACCTCTAACAAGAATCTGACCACATCAGGCAAAATATTGGGTCCGGCGTTTGACTGTAACCATGACCCTTAACCATAACCCTAACGAGAGTCTTACAACAGCAGGCAATATCTACGGCTCTAACCCTAACCCCGACTTCGAAACAAGAGCCTTTTCATAACAGGCAAAATATTTATTCGGCGTCTAATCTTAACCCTTACCAGAATGTTCAACGTCTATAGTAAAACGTATGAGAGAAAAATGACATTAGAACAATGATATATTTTATAGTTTGAAACTGAATTTAGTCTAAATCCAGTTTGATGGGAATGACTACATACATATAATTCATGTTTTACAAATTAATGTTTTACAGAACAGTTGTGAAAAGAAACATAAATCTGAACACGTTTAAGTAATTAACATATTCAGAAAATGGTCATGTCACACCATCTGGGTGTTAAAAACTATTGAGATCTAGGCGAAAATGTCCACAACATGTTTAAAGGTTGGACATTAATTTCTGCCATGGTTTACGCTTTAAATTTAGATCAACAATGGAATAAAACAAAGTGAAGCTAGCCTTCAGAGAAAAATGGAATTTATCGAGTCGAGTCAAATCGAGTTTTGAACCATCGTCTCTATTCATATTATGATAAAAACTATGAACAACGCACTGTAAATCGCCTTCCTCCGACGAATGATCAATCCTACGTTCTATTTAAGTTTGACCGAACATTTAAGTCTCTAAAACCAATAACTTTATATATATTTTATTTCCCTTTCTTTTCATATATTATGTATATGTTTGTTTGTCGCGAAGCTAATTTATAAACGCATGTGCAATAGGGTTAGTTTTTCCTGAAAAGACTAAGAACGTGGCTTTGCCAATATATAACGAGTATAATACAATATTACGGAGAATGTCTTTGATATGCATTAACCTATTCATCTGCCGGAATATCGATAAATTAATTGAGTTTTTATCCAACACGGATGGCTGCAGAAAATCGATACCGTTAACGTTATATCCGGCTTGTAGCTTGATACTGAATGTTGGAAGGGAGATAACTCTAGGTTTGAAAGGAAGGCTGTATTTTTTTAAAGGTTTGACTCGGACAAATGGAATGTGTAGAGTTTTGGAAACTTGATATCACATCTTCACAACGACAGCAATAAAATGGCAGCTATATTTGGTTATTGTTAGTTTTATTTACGGTTGTTCTTTCTTATTTGTTTTCTAAAATATCTAAATGGTAAATAAACAGACCTAAATTTAGGAGAAAATATGTACCATCCAAGCCAATGATCTTGAGCAAAACAGAAACAGAGCAGAGGAGTGTTAAAACTAAAATCAACAGTCCATATCCCAGTAATTCAATCTAACTTCAGGTTCATGTTTTTAAATTTGTTTTCGTTAAATGATAGATCGATCCGTGTAATATGTTTATGATATAATCATCATGAAGTCATACACAATATTGAACTAGACTTTCCAATATTACATAATAGTTCATTCAAGCATTCACAGACTTTTTTTTTAAATTGATATCAAACTGACGATGTAAAACAGCAAATACCAAGGTGTTTCAATACAAAACCTAATTTTGAAGAAACAACGTTTTTGCCATGAAAGACAAGTACGGTGCAATGTACATTTCTCATTGTAACAACACTGCACTGGAAGACACAGGCAGGTACTATGCTCATTGCAGCGCTACTGCATACTAGAACACTTTCTTTGACGAGAAAGTATTATTGGGTAGAAAAAAAACGTGCACTTTGTACGATTCTCTTTGACATACTAGTTTATTTAGCCAGAGTAGCTTCCTCTGGCCCCGACACCAGACTTAGACATTTTGACAGATATTAGATGGCTGCCTGGTGTCAGGGCCAGAGGAAACTCGGGCTGCCATGTACTGTTACTTTCTTTGGGAGAAATTATTACTGTGTAAACACATGCACAATGTACGTACGGTTCTCGTTGCAACAGTATAGTGCACTGGTTGGTGCATTGGTGTATATACACACACTGATACTACACTCGTTCGGGCGCTTTCTTAGGGATTAGGTATTAACAGGTAGATTGGTACTTATACTTCCTGTAGTAAAGCTAGCTACTCTTACACAAATCTCCAAGAGAAGGTATTTATGAATAACTCCTTGTAACGGTACTACACTAACACATAATTCTCCCAGGGCAAGGTTTAGAAGTAAAACAATGGACTGGTTCTATATATTCCTTGTACCGATATCATACCATACTGATGCAGCATTCACCTGAAAGGAAATAGATGCGTACAGCAAAAACAGTTCCAATGACACTTTCCTCAGAAGAAAGTTTTATGACATGTAATCTCCTCTTTGTAATAAATCGAGGTTCGAGGTTATTATATACCGCTTTATCACAACCTAGTTATTAGGTCGTCTCAAACGGTTCACAAATTAGTATCCGCGGTATTGGGCCTTAGCAATCAGCCAACATCTTTCTCAACTCCCTTGCGATCATATACAGCCGGTGCTGCCATTTCCACGCTCACAGCGAACATTCAACAATTCCGGCACTGCCCAACCACGTACTCATGTACAGCTGAGTAGACTGGAACAAGCGGAGTTAAGTATCTTACTCAAAGATACAACGCAGTGCCGTGCCGTGACTCGAACCCGCAACCCCGGCGTCCTACCACTAGACTACCATGTCCCCCAAACAATACCAATATTACACTAGCACAATTCACCAATGAGAAGAATGAAAACACCATGCAGATGTGATGGAGCAAAAATCCTTTATAAGTTCGATACTTTTTTTCTTATAAAACACTTGCATCTTGAATTAAAGTAAAATTTACATGATAGCTAGGAACCATTGACGAACTTTGTAAAAAGACTGCTACACCAAGACATCCTTCTGCTTTATTTAAAGTGTTTTGATCAATTATGAGAACACTATACCAAAGGCAAAGAATCGACTCTGTAGTAAACTAACATGGCGTCGATCACACTCCTGTCTATTATTGGGCGTCTCGGTGCGTTTGTTTTTGGAAAACTATGATTGATGGTTCCTTACACATAATAGCAGCTTTAACGTAGTTCCCCGACTTGAAATAGACCCAAGCACATGTATGCATTCGTTTTCCTGTCGTCCTGTTCTTACGCAGAAGTGTATAGAAACACTCAATAAAAATACAAGTCCTCGTTTCCTGGTCGTATGCAGACACTCACAGGAAGTTAAAATAACGTCTAATGACCTTGACTACATACCTTATTATTTCTTCTCATGGATACAATTCATTGGACCTCCGATATTTCGCTACCCCCGAACAGCCATGGAAACTCGATAACGTACACGCGCGCTGTGTGTATTGCTATTTATATCTACGCACGAGTGCCGCTTCAACAGTATAGACGGCATGCGGCGAGAGCATGTGTGAGGGAAGCGGTATGTTTGTGTTCTTCTACCAGCCATAGAAATACGGCTGGGTCGGCAGGTTAGCGTAACAGAACTTACACGTGCTCGAGCTTCTGATGATGACGAGGTGTATCAGACACATATGTACCAACTATATTCGCGAAGGAACGAGATATCCGGACTAATCGTACAGTGGCCTGTAAATAACTGTAAGCAATGTCTTCGACTCTGAAAATTATAATTGTTTTTTTTGTTTTTTTGTTTTTTTTTATCCCAAAATGGAACGTCAGTAATAATGATTATTTATCACGAGTCGTCACATCATATTCCGATGCCCTATCATATGGTAACGGACATTCTTCCCAATATTTGATAAGTGACAAGTGGACGGAATCATCATTTTCTACAAGAGTTGCTTATACTCAAGAGGATCTTGTCTGTTCTATCAGTACTTAAAAAAATGTTATTGTTTGTTTGAATTTTTATTTGTTTGATTTAATTTTTTGTTGTAAAAAAAATTGTGTTTGAGTGTATGTGTTTTTTTGGTGTTTTGCGCGTTTTCATTTTTGGTGTCACTTCGGTTCTAAAATCTTTTTGAGGTCGAGCACTATATAGTTTGGTGCTCACAATTTCATAGATTGTTTTATTCACACACACATATCAATGACAGTGCGAGATGCATATATCTCTAAATGTACAACATTATGTATATCTATTTATGTTGATATTGATGCATTCATGCATGTGTTACCACAAGACATCTGTATGTCAAAATGTCGAAGTCTGGTGTCGGGGCCAGAGCAAACTCGGGCTAGTGTTACATGTACTTCTGACATGACTGTTTGATACAGCTATTGATTTCGAGTCATTCAAGTGTGACTGTTGATGTGACTGCTGATATTACTATTGATTTTAAGCCATTCATGTGTGACTGCTGATATAGATGAACATTTGAAGCCATTCAAATTTGACTTCCGAAAAAGCGTCATTCAAGTGTGGCTGTTATATTACTGTTGATTTGAAACCATTCGTGCGTGAACGTGAGGCCCGACCAAACTGAATATAAACATGTTTTTTATGATTCCGCAGTATTGATTTCTTTCTCAGATCTTGTGTTTATTACTTGCATGGAAACTGATATCGCGCTCACGGCCTTACAAATGAAACACAGAGATTTCTCAGAATACACGATACAAATCTATTCAGTTAGTCATCTTCTCTGAGGAAATATATCAGTCATGTAGACGCCAATTTTGATTAGCTGGATATAAGTATATCCGTTATAGGATGACCACACAAGGGAAACCATTACGGCTCAATGGGTCTTGCAATGCAATGCTCGACATTGTATGATTGAAAAAAAATGACGTCGAATGACAGGACCTTGAACAGAAACGGATAGCTTGTCATTATATAACTAGACAATGCAAAAGATAACTCGCCGTCGTAAGCATGGAACTTGATTCTACGCAATTAGTTTAGGATTCACTCTTCCTTGACCGCTTCCAATACAACTTCCGGTGAATGGTAGAATGTAACCCCAGTGAAAGACTGACCACCGTCTCTAGAATATTGAATAAATAAGAAAACAATTTTAACTCTAAAACATTTGATCACTTGGATGTCTGATTTCTAGCTTAAGTTCTAAACTAGGGGGAGATAAGCTAGTAGCAAAATGCAGCCGAGAAATTCTTCATAAAAACGTGGGGGCTGGTAGCTATATATAGCCAGTCTACCCTAGTGACAACCGAATTCCTTTTGCACTCGGTAGTGCCTCACAATATCACTTGTTACAAATGATCGTAAAGGGAGATGTGTTAGGCTGCATGAGGATACCATTGATTGATATATGAATCTATGTTTTAAAAGGCAGAAAACTCTCAAGTTCTAAAAAAAAATTAAGGTCCTGTGAGACAATGCTTGTGTTAGACACGCGAACGTTTTAGAGTTTGGAGCCGGTGTAACCTGAAAAACGACCCAGACGCTCAATTTACAAGCATACAAGTATGATACGAAGGATGCTACAGAAAAGAATCGTTGTTTACAAAAGAAACCGCGCCACGATCTTCAAACAAAGTAGATGACGCGGGCTATGATTCAAAATGAATGACCTAAAACCAAGGCGTATGAATATTGTGATATATGGAGTTCAAAACAACCAGATTTACAGGATGTCTCAATATAAAGAGATTGCAAGGAAAACAATAAGCAAATGCAACACTAATACTGCAGACGAGTACATTCAACAGACTCACGACAGGAGCAACGTGAAAATAGACCATTGCTTTACTATAGGGTAAAATAGAAGTGAAAGGGGCTATATTATAGAACGTGAAACTGCTACGTGCAGATCATGATTTTCAAAGTATGAAAATAAACAACGACGTTGCAAAAGTGTCAAAAGAACAAGAAAAAACTATTTAGGGCTGAGGCAAAATAAAAACTGAATAAACGACTGATTTTTACATTTTTATTTTTTTTATTTTATTTTTAATAAAGCTAATTAGCTAAGAATAAAATGTCGGAAATTACAGTTAGAATCAAGAATAACGAAAAAGATACAAGGAAAAGAATAATATTGTATTTAAATGGAGACTGCAAGCAGAAACTACAGATACTGAATTTCATGAAAATCTTTCCTAAATAAAGGGAACAACAAAGATTTCATACCAACGTAATTCAAACATAAAGCCGATAAAATTAGGGTAGAATATGAAAAAACGGAAGATTTGAAGAAAAAAACCCCAATGTGAATAAGACAACGCGGTCCGAGAGGGAACTAAAAGCGCTTTCTGCGTCACCGACGACACCTGTCATGTATGTCTAGGTCAAATACAGGTAAAATCATGTCCTCAAAGTCGGAAACGGGGTAGGGACAACAAAATTACAAGAGACAGATGAGCATAATCGAAACCTTGGACCTTTATATCGCTCGTCAAGGGCGGCTGCTGCATGCTGCAATTCAATTTCATGTTACAACAAAATAAAAAGTGTGTCAAAACAAACGAAAACCTTGATTAAAGCTGAATGTGTGGAGTTAAATAAGGTTATAGAAAATCAGATGCGCTCGACGACAAGGAGGCAAGATTCGACAAGCTATTTGGAGATGGAATGGTATGACGTAAAGTGTAGCAGCAGAGGCAACTCCAGGAAATTACATCCGTTGTCTAGTTCTTCAGATATAATAAAGCACTTATTTAAAATCGCAATTCGAATTTGGATATATATCGGCGGATCGGTCGAGTGGTCAACACTCCAGCCTTCCATGCAGAGATATCCCTAAAAGGGGGGGGGGGGGGGGGGGGGGGGGGCACGGGAAAAGAATAAACCTGCTGTTACCCACTGCATGTATCGTACCTCCTGCAAAATCTGCCTTGGTGTCCTCTTTCTAGCGCCTTGCTTGGCAACACCTCACTTTTGGCTTTAATGTTGAGCGTTCGCCCAGGTAAGGAAGGCAATGGGTTCTGAACCAAGGCCGGGACATACCAAAGTCCTTAAAAATGGAAGTTTTTATTCCCTGCTTAACTTTCATCATTTAAGGATATGGCAACACTTGGTTCACCCGTTGTCAGTACAATGTGACCTGGCGGAGTGCTGTGCTGGGTACCTTCGGCAAGGTTTTTCAGTCAGAAAGCACTATAATGTCGGCATCAGATCCGCGCTATCACAAGGAGGCAAGCACAGCAACATATCCTGTCTCCTGCATACACACACACGCATACTCTACTTACATGGAGGCACGTCCTTAAATGACTTATGCTGTTGATAGGACGTTTAACAAAATTAAACCAAAATTCAGAGAAGGTGTTTTTCTCCTGCCCACACCACACCAACAACCTAGGTAGAGTTTATCATGCCGTTGGAAGCACGGCCCCACTACAAACAGGACACATTACATATCCAGCACACACCAGACATACACACATAGGGAGATATTAGCCATGTGACATAGGACTAGTAGTAAGCGCCTGATAAGGCAACTGCTAATTATGTTAATTGTATTCCTGTGTACTGTAAAGCACTTTCAAGAGGCTTATGTTAGCTAGAAAGGGTGTTGTATATATAAAATGCTCTATATTATTATTATATATCAATCTCGACTGGTCACTTTTTTCAATTCTAATAATGTGCCCTACAAAATGTTGTTTATATACACTTTATTCCCTCTGCAAGGTTAAATTGACTTGGCAATAACACATACAGAATTCTCTCGATCTTGAAAATTAGCCTATACAAGCATAGGCCATGTTTTCATGGTGTCAAATTAGCCTTGAAGATAAGCTGTTTTTTAAATGTTTAAACAGAAATACATGACATTCCGATCTGTATTATGTAGTGATACGGATTTATACATAACTGACTGAAAAGTGAAAAGTCTGAAAAAAACGTTCCTATCTTTTTCTTTCTACAAATAGTAAGTTAGACCTTGTTGAACCTCTTTTACAGCTAGCGAAAAATAATCCACCGATGCTTGGAATGTAAGTTTGATAAAGATTTTTTGATCGTAGTAGCTAAAAGTTATTTACGTGTATATATATATACTTTTTAGTATATGATTTGTACTAGCAATAGTCCGATAACCATTTATTAAAAGAGACAGTTTAACAAATTTATTTAGTGGAGAGTTGGATCTAGGCGCAGTGTACATGTGGCGCCTACAACATATCAATTATTGGAGCTGAGCCCGTGATCTAAAGCCACGCTCTATTGAAAACCTGGTATTCCTGGTATTTTCCCATGTATAAAGCATGTCTGCTGTGATAAATATAAACTACATGTGTAGGTATATATCACTCAAACTGTTTCCCGTTAGTATCCTTTATTTTCCATGAAAATGTGTTTTTGTTCAAATCACTTAATTTCAGTTTACCAAATAGAACCGCTAAAACTTACTTTTGATGTTGTTGAACTGACGATAATGTATACGTCATACATGTAATAGGTAGATTGCAATAAATATGAATAAAATTAGGTAAATAATTTTCACTTTTTATTTGCGTGACAACCCTAAAAAATGATTATGATAACAACAACATTGTCGCCGTTTGCTGGCTAGGAAATCACCATATATGTTAATTAATTACGTTAGTAACACGTAGTGTTACACTGCTATGTACATGGGACCTGTTTCTATGTCGTTATGTGTTCTGGCACGGTATGATCTAATATTCCGTGGTTCTGGACATCTTGATGCTAAGTATTAAAAACAATATTGAATTAACATAGAATTGGAATTAAATCATAACGCAAAATCGTATTCCAAAAACGTACCAGAGCGCTGCTAGAATTATTTATCCCGGGAGGTTGTGTGGTGCATGACCACGGAATTAGATTAGATGCTATCTAAGTCCGTGGCATGACAGAGTATTTCGCGCGCCCTTAGTACACGTATCTTTCCAAAAAAAAATGTTGACCTCCCCCCTGCTCTCCCCATTCAAGAGTCATGGATGGGTTTGGGCTGGGTACAGGATATATGTACATTGAAATGTATACTTCATGAAACACAGTGTCGAGATATTATTCACGAATGTTCAAGTATATATATATATCAATTGATTATTTCAGACAACACCGAAATCCTGAAAAAGAGCAAGCTTAATTTGTACCTCCACCCGGAGTCAAGAATTTTCTTCTCTATACAACTTTTACATTATACATAGTACTACCTCCAACATTAAACCCCCTTCGTGCCAATCAGAGTGATTAATATAAATTGACATTATTAACGGTTTTTCATAATTCTTGTAAAATAAATAAAGTTTATAAATTATATACATGTAACAAGCCCCACGGATACCCGGTTAAATATTACCGGTACATGTTTCGGGTGTATATTGGACCATAGGCATAGGGGACATCATAATGAAATATATCAGATTATGGGGTCTTAATTGGCTTTGATTATGACGTCATATAAAAGAAGAATTGTGTGACGTCAACGTCATGGAGTCTTATTTGAGTTAGGTAGATGAAAACCACATTGAGATTGATATACGGTCGGACGACATACATGTACATTTATAACAAATAATAGACTGATTTTCATCAGGGATAACTTTTTAAAATATTAGTTAATTCCATTTCGTATGATTATATATTCTTATATCAGAGATGTAATATAGTTATTTATGAAACCACAGAATTAAATTATCTAAGTCCGTGCACGTGATGAAACTGATCACGAGAGAGACAGGTTATACATATAATTGCATGTATCTGATATTTTGTGGTTTACGGGTGGTAGCTATAGGGAGTCAACAGAGACGTATATATATGTATAATAATATATACTACATGTTTCTATAAATTGTGTCCTGCTTGTATGTGTATCTAGGTCACTTACCTATATATATATATTGCTTACTCATTTCGCCAACCTTCTAGATATAACCGGACTTGAGTGAGTCTATCATCCCATACCTACGTCTCCCTAACACTCAAAGCTAATATTGAAGTCTTTGCTACACGTACTATAACCTATTTATAGATGGCATTGGTTTAGCCTTTCGTTCGCATTTTTGACGTTACACCTCCTCATCCCTACAAATACGAATGGAAGAGGCCGACTAGTAAACAAAACGGAAGTGGGTATGCATGGCTGCTGAGAAAGTCGTGCCTTTAGTGAAAATCGGATGCGGTGTGCACGGGGTTGACAGATTTTAAAGCTCATTACCGGCGAATATAAGCTATGGCAGACCTGGATGAACTGAAACAGAAGTATAAATTCCACGAAGAGACATTGAGTTACTTCAAACTACGTGCCGAGGCCGGCTTCGGGTCCTACCCGAATGCACCGTCAATAGAAGCGGCGAGGGATATTAATTTGCAAGTGACAAAAAAATTTGCAGGCGAGGTCGAATTTGAAGGGTCAGTGAAGGAGTTTATTGTTCCATCAACTCACGTCAAAGGTGCGTATGTCACAAATAAAATGAACTTGATTTTAGGAACATAATACATCCACACATTAATTTCTCCGGACGGTTCCATTTCACCGACTGGGAGATATCGCCAAGGGGGCGGGGCCGGTTTATTACATGTAAAACAATCACAGGTCATGATCCAGGGGATGCTGTGCATCTTACCTACTGTATGACACTAGGATGTGGTGATTGTATCACATTACACAAACATCAATGTATTAAATGTCCGATTTCTGCACAGAACGCATGTAAACCAACAATGTATGGTGTATAGATTATCTATAATCAGGGGGGGATATGTTACAGACGTTACATTGTAGGCCTACAGATGTATGTGCAAAACATAATGTCATTTTTTGCACAATATTGTTTTGACATATTTTCAAATTCAAAACAATGAAGACCGAGTTTTTGCCAGCTATTTTTGGAAAGTGCCTCTGAGCAGGAATTAGGAAAATATCTTCAGCATATATATATATATATATATATATTTGGCAAACAGTTGAAAATATCATTGATATTCCCACATATACAGTTTGGGACCAAATCATAAGTTTGGAAAAAATAAAACCTGCAATGTTATAAGCTATTTTTTTCCTCTAGCTGTTTCTTACATTCAAATATAAAGCAAAATTAAACAAGCACATCAATTTTCAGTGTTTTTGTATGTATATTCAGATTCACATTTTTTTTTCATTTATGTATTTTGAATGCTCCATCATTGACGGTAATACTTTGAACTGGAAACTTGTATAAACATGCTTTTTAATCCAATTGGGAAAATAAAGACTGAGATTGGGAAAATACAGGGTCATTTTTTTTCAATTTGGAATATATGGGTCCCTGTAAGCCAGACCCCACAAACACCTGACAAAACCCCTGGTAGATGTATCTGTTAAAAATGCAGTCATATTCAAAATGTCTTGATAATGATTAAACCCTACGAACATGAAGCTCACATACCCTAGTGGAATATATAAAAACACAGATGCAATAACGTTTTAGTAAGGGTTGATAGAGATGTCAATATACAGTTGTGTGACCGCACATAACGCACCAAAAATAGCGTGCGCATATCGTGCATACATTTTACATCGTTCACACATCAATCGTACATCATCAACAACAATAGTTAGCCCATTGTGCGCTTCTCTCCACTCAACTGTGTGTTTTGGTACACTTTGTTGATCATATATTACGGAATGAAAAAAAAATATGGTAGGCTAGCTAGCTCATATGCAATAATGTACATTCACTGTAATTTCTCATCTCAATAATTAAGATTATGTTCAATTTTATGATGCATGTTGCACAGTATTACAGTGACCATTATAGACTGTCAAGAATGGATTTGGCTCCAATTGCAAGTGAACAGAACAGGTAAATAACAATTTGATGATCAGTGACCTGAGTTTTACCTGGCCTGTGCCCGACACATAGAGCTGATATGTGATACCGTATGAATAAGTGGCTAATAATTATAATGTTAAACTGTATCGGGGACTGTGTCATTTTACATGTGTCGATTAATTAAGGTTGTTTCCTCAATTTACACCAACCACGATTGTTATAGCACAACGTTCGAGCAATGATCGTCCATTTTTTTGTGTGCATGCACATCGTGCACACATTGTGCGCACATCGCAGGTCGTGAAAAGTTGTGCGATCCCACAACTGTATATTGTCCTTAGCAATATGAAAGTGAGATGAATTTAAGGATATATTCTCATATTCACATATTTTTATCACAAATTGAAATTTAGTACATATGTATACTTTACATTGTAAGTACTTATTATATAAAATTGATTCGAAAACCATGGAAATAGAGCACACACTTTTTTCCTATTTGGAAAACAACATACCTACATGTATCCCCCTGCCCTCTCGCACATCCTCTTCCCCCCC